GAGTCTGACAAAGGGAGCCTGAAGCACTCTGCTACCGACAGACAACGGAAAGCACTCAGAAAACAGGTGCAGGGTCCGTTCCTATCAGCGAGAGTGGGCGGCATGAATGTGCCCGGGCCAAGCCGGGCACTTACTTCACCCCCACCAGGGAACAAACGCCTTTCCCAGGATCGGGGCTCCCCCCACAGTTCCTCCCCAGAACCCCGGCCCGGGGAGCAGTCTGGGGCCTCAGCTCCTCGGCCGCGGAGCCTTCCTCAAAGGAACTCTGCTTTCTCACTATGTGTTTGAAATCGGGGTGTGAACTCCAGGACCGGCCACCCCTTAGCTGCGTCCCCGCCCTAAGAGGTTTTTGGTCCTTCTGGCTGTGTTTTGCAGGAATAGAGCCCGACTCCAGAAGCCTTGCATGGACCTACAGCCCCAGCCCCCTCCCCCCGACTCTGCTTTTTTTATTTGGAGAACAGACCTTGCTAAGTGAACGAGTCACCCAAGTCGGGTCGGAACTCAAAAGTACGTCATCCTCCTGGATTTCTGGAATTAGAGGCACAGGCCACCAGGCCTGGCTAAAGAAACTGTTCTTCAAAGCAAAATGAAGAGTGGGGTGTGGTGGCACACGCCTGTAATCCCAGCACTAGGGAGGCTGAGGCAGGAGACTTGCTGTCAGTTGGAAGCCGACGCAGAATACCTGAGAGGGCCGGGCGTGGTGGCGCACCCCAGTAATCCCAGCACTCGGGAGGGTTGAGGCAGGAGGATCACTGAGTTGGAGACCAGCATGGGCCACGTGGTGAGTTCCGGGTCAGTCTCCACTACCTAGTGAGACCCCGCTTAAAAAAAAAAAAACAAAAAACAAAAAAAACAATACATAATGAGCCTCTGTATGAAAATCGGGGAGTGCACTAAGATCCTTTATCGCAGTGAATCTTTCTGTTCCGTCTTTTTGCCACCGGGGATGGAACTCAGGCTCTTGCACTTGGGAGGCAGGCGCTGGCACCACCGAGCTACATCCGGGGCCCAGAGGGGTCATTCACGAACACATACATTCGGTTCCTGTTTCGCACTCTGGCCCCTCGCCGCTCCATATTAATAAAACTGGACCCGTGTTTGAGAAGTGAATGAGGGACTGAATCCTTGACTTTCGCTTTCTAATTTGGGGAGTGGCCGAGGCGGGGGTCTCACTCTGTAGTGCGGGCTGGACTCGAGCTCACTCCGTGCCCCGGCTGGCTTCCATGTATTTCCTGGCTGTCCTCCTGCCTCAGCCTCTGAGGTGCTGGGATTACGGGCGTGTCTCTGTCTCCCCGCACCCGGCCCCACTCTCCTTAATTCTCCTCTGGCCCCGTCTAGAGCTGTGCGACGATCAATCAAGGTGGACGTGGGGTGAACTGGGTGGAGAGGGAGGAGCACGATCAGAGATGCGGGTGTGAGAGGAAGGGAGGAGCTGGGCGGGTGAGGTGTAGCCGACGGGGCGGATAAAAGGAGGGCGGCTGAGGAGCTGCTCAGCTCTGGAGCTCGCAGTCACCGCCTGGCCCCACCTGGAGTCCCGCAGCCTGGGCACCCACCCGCGACCGCGACCGCACCCGCAGCCGGTGAGTCACTGGCCCTCCTCACGGCCCTCGGCCCGAGTCCTGTGAGGACGGAGGGCCCAGGTGGCACGGGAGGATGCTGTGTTTTCTGTCTCTTCAGGTGGGTGGGTTTGGAATTTGGCAGTCGTTGCTTTTCGGAACCCAGGTCTTCCTGTGTGTCCCGGCTGGATTTGAATTCAGAGTTCAGTACGTAGCCCAAGCTGTCCCCGAACTCCGGATTGTCCTGCCTCTGCCTCCTTACCCCTGGGACCACAGAGGCATCGGCTAAGTCAGAGTTAGGTTTTGGTGGAAATGTGTAACTTCGCCTTCATGCTTTCGGTATCGTTTTGTGCGATGCTTTACGTCGGTTCATGAAAATGTTTTTGGCACAGCGCCTCACTCAAGAGTTCCAGTGCAGACTGGCCTTGACCTGCTCTGCACTCCAGGATGGCTTGGAATTGCATTGCTCCTCCTGCCTCAGCCTCCCGAGTGCCGGGATGACAGGCGTGGTGAGCAGCCACATCCACTTGGTCATTTTGTCACTTTTTAAGAAGCTGACGTTTTTCTTGGGCTGCTGATCCTGCCCAGAAGAGAATGGCCCTGAGTCCGATCCCCTCGTACCAAATAGATACATAAACTCATAAACGAGAAAGGGAACGCTTCTAGTAGTCTTCCTTTCTTTCTTGAAGTTGGTTAATTTTCTTGGTACTTCCGAGGTAGGTGTACAGCGTAGTGACATTTATCATTGGAAATTTGCACCTTTCCGTAATCCATCTCGGTTTTCCTGTTTGCCCCAGGCCCCTGCCCTCCCTCCAGCCCCTCCACCCCTCCCAATCTGCAACGACATTGTTTCCTCTTTTTTTCTTCTCTTCATGGTGACCCCATGGTATTCTTTCTTTTTCCGGAACCCTTCAGTTTCCCCTTCCACTTTACAGTTCTCTTTATTTTTATTCTTCTATTTTTTGGGTACCGGGGTTCGAACTTGGGCCTCGCAGAACCACCGAGCCAAACCCCGGCCCTTCTAGTTCTTTCTAAAGGCCAGTCGTGTCTTCAAACGTCAGCGGGCTCCCTGCTGTAAGTCCCTCCTGGTGCTGAAGCAGGGGGACGGGAGGACCCAGTCCGGCCTGGGTGAGAATGGACCCAATGGCTCAACTGTTGTTTCTAAGGGTTGCGCGGGGCCTTCCCCCTGTGCTCCATCCTCCACCCTTGTGCTTTCGTTTGTGTTCGGAGACAGGGTCTCGCTAAGGCATCCCGGCTGGGCTGCAGCTCGGAGCTCTCCTGACTCAGCCTGACAAAACGCGGGGGTGACAGGAGTGGATCTACACGACTAACCTGATTTCAGGGAGTGTTCATTTCTTTTCGGGTTTTTTTTGTTTTGTTTTGTTTTGGACAGAGATTGTTGCTATGTGCTTCGGGCTGGCTGCGCATACGCTAGGCGGCCCTGGCCTAGCACTCGCAGTCCAGCTTTCCCAGTCCTGGCACTGCAGGCTGCCCCACCACCGGAGACGCCTTTACAGCATTTTAACCGTAGCCCTCGAGATGGAGATGTTGCTCCGTGGTAGGTAGAGCTCTGGACGAGAATGCCCGGGCTCAAGGTTCGACCTATCAGAGCAAACTGAAGAGAATGAGGTTTTATTTTCTTTCAGAACTGAGGACTGAAGTCAGGGGTGTGATATCATGGACCTTAAAGGCCCAGGCGCCACGTTTTTTTTGCTGCTTGTGTGTTCAGACAGGGTCTCCCACCTCAGCCAGGCTGACTGAGCTCTTCATTCCTCCCTCGTCCAGCTAGGAGTTCCTTTCTCCGCTCTCCCCCCTCTCCCACCCTGCTCCACTTTTCTTTGCGTCTTTCCTTCCTTCCTTCCTTCCGTCCTTCCGTCCTTCCCTTCCTTCCTTCACAACTTCGCTCCCACCTTCCTTCTCTCCTCCCTGCGTTCCAGCGCTGCAGGAAATCAACAGCACCTTTAAGACAAGATTTCGCTAGGTCACTAAATTGACCCATTTGGGCTTGAAAAAATTTTAGGGCTCACAGGCCTCAGACTCTCCGAGTACTGGGATCACAGGAACGTGCGTGAAAGTCTTTACTCACACTTTTGACATTCGATTAGTATCTCCTAAATGATAGTTCCGTGGAGGTTCATTCGTGATTTTAACGAGGGCCCTCGATTCTCATGGGCTCGCCCCTGACTTCGGTCAACTTCTACGCAAAAAGTAAAAGAAAAACTGGGCAAGGCCGCTCTCAAACATGATTCCACCACTCCCAGGGCTGAGTCAGTAGGATGGCTGAGTCTGAGGCCAGCCTGAAATACAGATGGAGACCCTGTTGCCAAAAAAAATATATCCAGAATAAAAATAATAACAAGGGGAACTTTAAATCATTCTGTATAGTCGGGAACGTGTGTGTATTCAGGCCTGAATTATCACCTGCTCTGGAGGCTGAGGCAGGACACCTGTGAATTGAAAAGCACTTGGACAGCTCAGATGCTTTCTCAAACGAAACATTGCCCAAAACAGTGCTGAAACCATCCCTTGAGCAAAAGCCATATTCAAGCCAACCAATTACAAAAGACTATGTAGTGTTCTGCACCAGTATTTCACATTTTTGTTTCTCTTGTCCGCGTGGGGGCATTGTCTGTCGCTTTGGGTTTTTTTTGTTTGTTTGTTTGTTTTGCTGTTGTTGCTTGCTTAAGGTGAGTTTTCATTAAAAGGTTCTACTAGGACTGACCCCCACTCTTTGGGCTGGGGAGCACTGGGATTACAGGCATTCACCACCACACCTGGCTATACTTGTCGAAGCTGTCTGCTGTGGAACACCTTGTCGCTGACCCTCCCTTCCACACACCTCGTCTTCCCTACGTTGCAATTCACTGGAAGGCATTCTTGCCAAGTCACTCTCGGTTGTACAGGCTAGGCTTGACCTTGGAATTCTCTCTCGCCCCTGCCTCCTGGGGTGCCGGGACTGTAGACCGTTCTGCCAACTACAAGGTCCTGAAGGCCGTGGTGCGTTTTTAGAGGGGAGATGTTGTTTGATCTGTTCTCTGCCCTCACTCCATCATCACAAAGTGGTAAGGTGTCGAGTGCGGCAAAGAGTTGTGAGGATCTACGTACGCCAGAGTTGGCGTTCTCCATCTCCGACTTCCACGTGCTTGGTACCAATTTCACGTGGCTTTTATACTACTGGCTGACGAAACTTGCCCAAACGAAAATGACACAAAGTCCACTTTGCGGAGTCACCCTGCTACCTCCTGAGTGGCCTCCTCTGTAGAACAGAGACGGTAGGTAAGGCAGGGTTGGACCTTGAGACATTTCCTCTGCCGAGGTCCAGAGGCCTCGGAGCCAAGATGAGAAACCTCCCTCACAAGAAGGCCGAGACGTCACGGCAGTCAGAGGCCACTTCCCACAGGGACTGGAGCTCAGAGGACGAGGGGCTTGAAGTGCATGGGGTAGGTGTGCCCTGGTGCCCACAGGGGCAGAGGTGCGCTTTGGGGTCACCTGAGTCAAAAGTGGTGGTACATTGCAAAGGATCCCCTCCACGGCTGGATGAGGAACTTGGCCCCGAGTTGGCCTCCCTAGGTCGGAGGTGGGCTGTGGAGCTTGGTGTGAATGGACGGCCCTTCCTGGGCGTGACCCCAAATCCTCCTCTTCTCGCAGGTTTCTCGGGAGGGATGAGTACGCAGAGCCCACCGACTCTTTATGAGCTGGCCAAGCAGAGCCTGCTGAGCGGTGAGACCGCAGCCAGCGCCGCTCTGTACGACCTGCCCACCCAGCTCTTCCATGAGCTCTTCGTGGAGGCCTTCCTGGAAGACCGCAACGAGGCCCTGAAGGCGATGGTGCAGGCCTGGCCTTTCCCCTGCCTCCCTTTGAGGACCCTGATGGATCTGAGGATACCAAAGACCCCTCTGTGGGTGTTCGAGCAAAGAAGACTAGAAGAGAGAAACCTAGAGACCTTTGAAGCCCTGCTGGATGGCCTGGACAGGCAGCTGTCCCAGAAGGTTCACCCCAGGTGAGGGAGATCCACGGACCCTGGAAGGAGGGTCCCGGGAGTCCCGAGCAGGGAGAGTCAGTGTTCGGGACACGGGGGACTCGGGGGGGAGCGGCTTCTGGCGTGGAGGAGGTGCTGGCCTTCACCGAACCGAGCACCACCCGCCCAGGGGTTTCCTCATGAAACTGCTGCACGTGGGGGATGCGGTGAGCATGTGTGAAATCTGCCCCTGCCCCTTCTCAGAAGAGCCAGAGGTCGAAGCACACCATGTGGGAGGGGTGGAGGGTGGCAAAGGAAGGCAGGAAGGGCAGGGCGTCCGCGATGTCCAGAGAGGGAAAGAAGAGAAGCTCAGGTAGGAGGCTGGGTCTTTTGGTCTCAGTGCTGAAACCGATTCCTGTGTCGCCCACAGCAGGCGGAGACTGCGGGTGCTGGATTGGAGGGACGTACACCGGGACTTCTGGACCTCACGGCCCGGGACCGTGAGAGTTGCCCACTCGGGGGATGCCAGCAGCGAGGAAACGGGCGAGCGGGGGCCGAGGAAGAAGAAGCCGAGCCTGACGGTACTCGCGCAGCTCCATTTTGAATCCTGTAGTACCTATGCCAACCACGATGCGTTGCAGGTGTGTCTCTTGAAGTGGGTCCGGAAGAGAAGAGCCGCGGTACACCTGCTCTCTGAGAAGGTGACGATCACTTCCTGTGCTGTCTTTCACGTGGTGAAGCTGCTGCGTGCTGTGCAGCTGGACTCTATCCGGGAGGTGCATGTGCTCAGCGACTGGACTCGCGAAAGCATGCGAGCCTTCGTTCCTCAGCTCAAGAAGATGAAGAACCTTCACACATTTCGCTTCGGCAGCATGGACCCAGACAAATATTATTCACCCTCGAAAAACAAATGGCATTCCCGCATCTATGCTTATCACTTAGGCCAGATGCAAAGTCTCCGGGAGCTTCACATAGATAAGGTCTTCTTCTTGGAAGGAAAACTGCACAAGATCTTCAGGTGAGTGGGTGGCGAGCTCGGCTGCGCATTCGAGGTGCGGGTAGGGTAGAGAGGAAGAGGGCGTCTGTGTGCCCCGCGGCTGGTAGCCTGGGAGGTAGCGGGAAGTGGCTGCACAGCACCGTCTGGACCCGCAGTGAGGTCTGCCGCGTCCCATAGGGACCCGTGAAGGCAGGGACCAACGTGGAACAGGAGATCCGCACCCGGCCCCACTCTCAGAAAGGCAGCGGGGTGGGAGCCGGCGGCGGGAGGAGGGCAGCCGCGATTTCTTTGTCTTGAAGGAGCGTGTCTAGGTTACGGTGCTGCTGGAAGAGGTAGGAGAGAGCAGTTAACTAAGGGTGCACAGAGGACGGCACTCAGCAGCTCCGGTGGGGCGCGGTCCCGTTTCTCTCTGCCCACCTTTCAGAAAGGCGGCCGGGTGCTCCTCCGAAGCTGGCGGCGCCAAAATAGGATGCCCGAACCCTGCAAGGTAAAAAGGAGCCAAGTTTGATTTGAGGTCACAGCTCAGAGATTCGGGTCCGTGGTTGGCCGGCTTCGGAACACCGCAGGGGCAGCAAGGACAGTTCCACTGCAGGATAGGCAGAAAGCAGCAAGCCGGCCTCCCTCCTTTCCCTTCAGCTTCCTCGCGGGCTACGGTTAGTTCCGTTGCTTGTTACCATCCGCACCCAGCAGAGGGGAAAGAGCCGAGTGTTTCCGTCCCGATCGATTGCATGGCCTTCGGCCACGCTAAACCAACCCTCGGACCAGCCCGGATGCCACACCGCGATCTAGCCGTTTTCCCAAAGGCCCGCCGCTGAGTGCGTTAGCTTTGGGGGGGCAGCCCATTCCTAAACCATAGCGATGCCCCTGGGAGGTGCGGGAGTCTGGGCCTCGCGGGGGAGCAACACACACTTTGCCGAGGACACGGACCCAGCTGCATCAAGAGTGGCCGGTCTTGCCTGGCTTCATCCTTCCTGCATGTCACCCCCTGGCCTCACCTGGACAGAGCTGTGGTTTTCTGCTTGGGGATGAGCACAGGGCACTGTGGGAAATGGGGACTGAGTCGGTGCCACCAGTGATGGTACCTTGAACTGTTACTGACTTCCATTCACCGCATCTGCTCCCTCCCTCCCTCTCTCTCTCTCTCTCTCTCTCTCTAGGAACCAGAAACCCTTGGAGGCCCTCTCCTTGAGTGCGAGTCCACTGAAGGAATCTGACCTGAAGCACCTGATCCAATGTCCCACCACAAACCAGCTGAAGTCCCTGACTCTGAGGATGTTCTCAATGGAATCATTCAACTTGGACACCCTCCTGGCTCTGCTCGACAAATTGTCCGGCACCCTGGAGACCCTGGTCCTAGAGCGCTGTGGCTTCACAGACTCCCACATCCTTGCCATCTTGCCCGTCCTGCATCGCTGCTCACAGCTCAAGACCTTCAGTTGCTTTGGGAACCGCATTTCCCTGTGCACCCTTCGGGTCCTGCTGTGGGAGTCTGCCGGTCTCAGTCAGTTAACCCACGGGCTGTATCCTGCCCCGCTAGAGAGCTATAATTCCAAGATTTCGCACACAGTTGTGGACACTGATTCCTTTGTCATGGTCTGTGCTCGATTGGCACGGGTTCTGAAGAAACTAAGGCCATCTCTTAGGGTCCAGATCTGTACCTACTTCTGTATTTGGTGCATGAACTGCCGACTGTATGGACTGGATCCCAGCGGGAAGTGGGAAGTCACAGAGGAGTATCGCTACCCAGGAGGTCAGCCTGTATGTTACTGTTGTGAGGTGTCCCGGCGTATTCATGATATGTTTTCCTGGTAGGCGTCCCCTCGGACGCTCACCGGTGGATCAGTCCGCTGAGCCTAGAGCTCAGTGTGGTGCTGGGAGGTGAAGCCAGGTCAGAGGAGGTGGGCCACTGGGAGCGTGGCCTAGAAGGCTCTGTCTGTCACCGTTCTCTGTTAGTCCGTCTCTGCCGTGCTCCTTTCCGAGCCAACCCGTGACGTGAACTGTAAGACAGAGCAAAACTTTCTCTCTGAAACTGTGGATGTCGCCTGCAGCGAGTCAGTGTACCACGGGAGCAATGTGTTCATGGGCCTATGCGGGAAGTTCGTCCCGTACTGCCGGTCCGGGGATGAGCCCGAGGGGACCCTTGGCGGCGAGTGCGGTCGAACAGGTCCCACAGTCTGAGCACTGTGGAAGCTGAGGCTGAGGGTGTCTCCTCACGTTCCCGGGCCAGCCTGGGCTCCGTAGTGAGCCTATCTCACAAAATAAATAAATGAATTGAATAAATCCTCACTGTGAAAACCTTTATTGAAACGCAGGAACTCATTGTTCCATCCTATTTATACTTTTTTCTTTCCACAAGTGTTGCCCAGGCATCACGCTGTCATTCGTCTCGGGTAAGTTAGCATTCTCTTCACCCTTTCTCTTTTCGGTATATGAGGTCTGCACACTGAGGTCGCACTCCAGCCCTCTTTCTTTCTTTCTTTGTTTTTTTTTTGGTACCGGGGATTGAACTCCGGCCCTTGCACTTGCAAGGCAGGCCACCGATCCGCTGCGCTAAATCCCTGGCCCCAGCCCTCTTTCTTTTTTTCCCCTCGCTTTTTCAAGTTTTATTTTGCACGTTTGCTGTACTTACCATCACATTCACCCCGGGGCGTTGGTGCACGTGCACGACACATCCCGACTGCTTTTATCTGCTCTTCCCTCTCCTTCCATCTCTGGGTCCTTGTCCACTTGAACGTTTGGTGACAGGGTCTCACTATGCAATGAAGTGGTGCAGCTCAGGTCAAACCTGCGATCTTATCTCAGTTTCCAAGAGGGCTGGGATTACACCCAGGCTAGCCACACCAAGCTTGGTTCTCACTTTGACCTCAGTGATTTCCACTGGTGGCAGAAAAAAAAACAAAAAAAAACAAGGCCTTGGATTGTTACTTGTGGATGGGGATAGGTTGCAGCATCTGGAAGTTTGAAAATGACCTGCCCTTCACATACTACCTTCCCTCTTTTCTCCTCTTGCAGTGGAACTTGGGCCTCGACCAAGGTAGGGTGGTGTTTGATCATTGCACAACATTCTCAGCTCTCATCCCATCATGTTTGCCTTTCTGGGGCCATCTGTTCATTCCTGCTTATTCTGGCCATTTCCAGAATGCTCAAGTCCAGGTTGGCTTCATTCACTTGGCGTTGGACGTATGATGCCAATGTGCTCTTGTAGTGTGAAGATACTCCATGGTCATGATAGCAGAGTTGAGTTATCCATTCATGCTCTGAAGAATGGCCAGTCTATTCCAAACATCAGCTGTGATGAAGAGATCACCTTGGTATAAATGGGTGGAGGTGTACTTGGATCAACACCTAAGAGTTCTGTTACTGAGTCTGTACTAGGGGTATATGTCCTCAGTTTTTCTGCAACAGTCTTGCCTTTTAGAATTGTCCTGTAAAGGGCCTGGTCAAGAAGTGTCCACATACCTGGGCTTCACACCTGAGCATAGCTCCTGGCAAGTGGCAGTAACTGCTGACTGACCATAGGTGTCTTATAAAATTCCAGTATCAAGTTGTAGCCAATAAGAGGAAAGTTTGAGTAAGTGAGCATTTCCATGCTGAAAATGTGAATTGGCTGTAGAAAACAACACTTGTGATGCTGTGGATGCAGAATGGTTGTCATGAAGTGCACCATTCCTGAGAGTGGAAAGTCTTCCTTTGGCTTTTGTACATTCTCCCCCAAGTCATTGACAATATTCCAAGTGCAAAAAGTCCTGTCAGTCAGCCTATATATCCCCTGCACCCCAGGGCCATCTCCAGACAGCCCAGCTTTGTCTGCTTTCCAGATCACTCTGACTTCCTATGAATTACGAACAGTGATGCCTCATGTTGCTTCTTCCCTTCTAGAAATGGTATCTTGGATTACCAATCATGTTACTTCTTTTTCACTTAAGCAAAGGTTTTAGAAGTTTGTTTGGCTGGGCATAATGGTGCTCGCCAGTGTTCTTACCCCATAGGAGTGTGAAGCGGGGGACTGCACTGAGTTTGAGGCCAGCCTAGTCTACAAGGTGAGTTTAAGGCCAGCCTGAACCACATAGCTAGACACAACCTATATAAAACAAACCAAATAAAAACAATTAAAAAAATGATTCATTCTAATATGTACCAGACACAGTGGTGAATATGTATAATTCCACCACTGAGGGACTAAAGCAATCCTTTCTCAAAGTAAAAATTACAAAGCCAGGTACAGTTTTACAGTCTTATAATCCTGGCACTCAGGAGGCTGAGGAAGGAGAACTGCATTAAGTTCAAGGCGATTCTAGACTACATAGTTCAAGTCCAGGCTGAACTACATAGTGTGACCATGTCTAGAAAAATCTAATGAATAGTTTTTAAACTAAATGAATAAATAAATTAACAATTTTTTAAATACCCTAACTGGAATCAGGCATTCTCACAACTTCTGGGAAGATCTCATGGTTCTGCCCACCCTAGGAAATGTAGGATATTATTGAGACCCTGTGTCAAAATAAAAACCATGAAAAAGACCAGGGATACAGCTCAGTGCAAAAGCCCTGTGTTAATCACCACCAACAGAAAAAGAGAAAACTCTGATAGATGATAGACAGGTACATAAATTGAGATAGGTAGATAGATACAAAATAGATAGATGTCCAATTTTTCACTTAGGTTGGAAACCCAGGGGCCCAGCTGTATGACACGGGATCACTTCATTCCTTGAAGCTTTTGCAGTCTCTAACTCAGTTCTCAGCCTGTGTCCCACGTGAGTAGTCATCTCCAGGTCTTCTGGATTCCTTGACAATCACTTTACTCTGAGCAGCTTTAACCTTTACTCCTTTATTCTCCCTGAGATCTCTCTCTCTCTCTCTCTCTCTCTCTCTCTCTCTCTCTCTTTTATTTTAGTTTTTTTACTTATTTTTCTCTCTTTGAGTTTACTGGAACATTTTATGTATACAGTACAGTTACATTCATCATTGGGATCTTGTACCTTTACATGACAGGTCTTGATTCTCATTTTTCCCCTTGTCCCTGCCCTCCCTTCACCCCCTCCTCTCTTCGCTATTTACAAATACTTTATTTCCATTTTTTCATTTTCTCATATTTTTCCCTTATTACCTTTCTCTTACCCTACCCACTTCCCCTACACCTTTAGCTCTTTTCTTCCTATTTCAAATTGTCAATTATATCATTAGGATCTTATTTACCATTATGGTTTTTCACACCATGGAAACTATTCAGTATTTATACATGTGTGACTTACTCATTTCACTTAGGAGTATATTCTCAATATGTATCCATTTTCCTATGAATGACTCTAATTTCTCATTCTTTATGGCTGAGTAGTATTCCCTTTTATAGAAAATGTGGTTTTTCTATAAAATGGAATACCACTCTTTTTTTTTTTAACACATCATGTCACTATTTCATGCTAACTTTCAACTAACTACCCTAGGTTGGGATCAAACTCAACAATCATCCTCTCTGTTTCCCAAGCATAGGGACAGTCTTGAATAGATCAGCTGTTCCACAGAAGATGAATGGATAACTCAACTCTGCTGTCTGACCATGGAGTATCTTCACACTGTGAGAGCATGTGGGCATCACAGGTACAACCCCAAGTGAATCAAGCCAACCAGGACTTTACCATTGACATTTGTGTGCCCCCATGCCTGCAATCTCCATTAGGTACTCATCTGACACTCTAGCACTCAGGAGGCTGAGGCAAGAGCCTAAAGAGTTTGAGACCAACCTAGTGCAGATTGCATAGCATGATCCTTTCTCAAAGACAAAAAACACTTCTGGGAAGATGTGGGGGCAGTGAGCAGAAGAGAAAGAATGGCCAGGCATGGTGGAGCACACCTGTACTCCCAGCACTCAAGAGGCTGAGGCAGGAGGATCGCTGCCAGTTCGAGACCAGCCTCGGCTACATAGTGAGTTCCAGGTCAGTCTCAACTACATAGTGAGACCCTCTCTCAAAAAACCAAAACAAAACAGAAGAGAAAGAACATCTCAGATATTTGGAGCCTTGACAAAGGAATGTAGCTACACAAGGAGGGGAAGGAAGTGAGTCCCAAGAACCCAGGAAGGAGTTTAAGCAAGAATGTAAGATTATGAGGGGAGTGATGAAAGAGACTTTAACAAAGAGGAAGGAGATAACAAGCAGCACTCTCTCCCAGAGCCTGGACTCATGGTGTGGGAATAGTAGGTCAATCCTGCAGGTGCACTACTGGTGACCTCAGAGATCTACACAGAGAAATGCAGCAGTTGAATGAAGCAGTGGTTGCAGCAGACTTCAGCAGCTGGTAAGTTATCCAGGTTCAGTCCTCACCAAGAAGACAGTGACTGGCCAGTAGTCACCTTGGAGAAGGGATAATTGATCTCAGAACTCAAAACAGCTACAGCCTATATCTCTCCACGTCTTCCAGGGTCTTGGTGTTGGTAACAAGTTTAAGTCAGCAGGAAGTAAGGAAGCAGTGTTCAATCAGTGTTCAAGGAGGTACAAGGACGTGGTAGGCTCAGAGAATCAGGTCACAGCCTCATAGCCAGAAACAGACCTGAACTTCAGTGGAACAAAGAGGCAGGCTGCCTGGGATTCTCCACTACTGTACCCTGAATCTGCAGCTGGCTTGCTAGGTTTAGTCAGTTCAGCCCTGTACTCTGTACCAACATTACCTACCAGTGAGAGCAGAGACAAACCTTGAATTGGTTTTTCTTTCTTTTTTCTTTTCTTTTTCTCCTTCCCAGTTGCTTGTTCCTTTTGTTTTTACTTGATTGCTGGAACACACTTTGTATTTCTTTTATTGTTGTTTTTCTCTTCTGTTCTTGTTTTAGATCTTCCTTTTCTCTCCTCCCCTTCTTCGCAAATTTTCTAAAGTTTATTCTCCAACCTTGCCTCTGTTCTCCTCCTGTTCTATTTCTCTGCATTTTCCTCCCTAAACCCTTTTATGTCTTCTCCCACAAGAATAATGTCACCATATCAATGGCTTATTACTGAACACAATTTTCACGTTTATTCTGGTTTTTTTTTACATAACACAAATCAAGTTCAAATGATTAAATGTAGTGAAGTAATAGTTACCATACTTTGTTATATGCTAGGCTGTATTTGATGCTGTTATTCTTATTGATTATACTGCTTTAGCTCAGGTGACCTACTGTGTGAATCAGTTGTAACACCGATTGTATCAAAACTTAGATTGCCAAAGGGTCATTAAAAATATTATAGTCCAGTGCCAAAGAACCAGCAGCTC